GGCACGGGGTGAAGTAGGACGACCGGGACCACCGGGATTACCGGGACCGGGGGCTACGGGTGCGGTGAGCGCGGCTACCTACAGCACGGTGCCGCGTGTCGCCTTCTACGCCGGCCTCAAGAACCCCCACGAGGGCTACGAGGTCCTCAAGTTCGACGACGTGGTGACCAACCTGGGCAACCACTACGACCCGGCCAGCGGCAAGTTCACCTGCCCGGTGCGCGCCCCGGCACCTACTTCTTCACCTACCACGTCCTCATGCGCGGCGGCGACGGCACCAGCATGTGGGCCGACCTCTGCAAGAACGGGCAGGTAAGGGCTGGCCAACCTGGCTACCAGCCCCACCACGGGGATGGAAACCCCCCCTAAAGACCTGGAGAAGGGTGCTGGGTGCTTCCTCAGGGTGCCACGTCTTTTACTTGGCACCCAGGGTGAATCTTCAGGGTGCTCCATCCTTCTCCTGGCCCCAAAGATGCATCCTCAGGGTGCTCCATCCTCCTCCTGGCCCCAAAGATGCATCCTCAGGGTGCTCCATCCTCCTCCTGGTCCCAAAGATGCATCCTCAGGGTGCTCCATCCTCCTCCTGGCCCCAAAGATGCATCCTCAGGGTGCTCCATCCTCCTCCTGGTCCCAAAGATGCATCCTCAGGGTGCTCCATCCTCCTCCTGGTCCCAAAGATGCATCCTCAGGGTGCTCCATCCTCCTCCTGGTCCCAAAGATGCATCCTCAGGGTGCTCCATCCTCCTCCTGGTCCCAAAGATGCATCCTCAGGGTGCTCCATCCTTCTCCTGGTGCTGATGAGGGGCTTTCTGGGTGCTTCCCCGGGGTGCTCCAGCCTTTTCCCATCCCCAGGGTGTCACATCCTTCTCCCGTGGGCAATGATGGGCTCTGGGTGCGTCCCTGAGGTGCCACATCCTTCTCCCGGCCATGAAGATGTACCCCTGGGGTGTCCTGTCCTCCTCCTGGCCCCAGAGCTGCACCCCCGGGCTGCTCCGTCCCTCTCCCGCTGGCAGTGATGGGCTCTGGGTGGGTCCCCAGGGTGCCACATCCTTCTCCTGGTCACAGACATGCACCCTCAGGGTGCCCTGTCCTTCTCCCAGTGACCCGATGGGCTCTGGGTGCTCCCCCGGGTGCTCTGTCCTGCTCCCAGCCCTGGAGATGCACCCCCAGGGTGCCCCATCCTTCCCCCAGTGTCAGTGACGGGCTCTGGGTGCTCCCCCGGGTGCTCTGTCCTTCTCCCAGCGCTGGGGACACTCTCTGTCCCCACACCCGTGCTGCCCCGACGTGTCCCCAAGGGTCCCCTCAGTCCTTTCCTTGGCCATGGAAACGAGCCCTGCCATGTCTCTGGGGTGCCTTGGGGTGTCCCCTCAGTGTCCCCTGCCCTCCCCGGCCATGCCATTGTCCCCACTGGGACTCCCTGGGGGTGACAGGCTCCTCCGCAGGGAACAGTGTCTGGGGGGTGGCAGCACCCACCCCGCTT